GCAGCATAAAACTTCAAAATCTTCCTCCAAAATTGTAATAATGAAATCAATTATGTGGCCCGAGTGATTATTATATTATATACCTTGATTATGATTCATCATTATATTGTGATTATGCATTGTATTGGTTCTTGAATGAAAGACAAATTTCCCTTCCGGGACAATAAAGTTTATGTTCTCTTATCTTATCTAATTCCAGCAATATCACGGCAGGGGACACCAGAAATGGGCTTCACTCATTGTGCCCATGTGGAGAATCGAACCCGGATCTTTGACTTAACAAGTGACCACCTTTAACCATAAGGCTACCCCACCGCCCCATTACTTGGTCAAGATCAATTTTAACTTGAATTTTTATTTTAATACTTACTTTAGTTGACTAAATTATTTAAGATATGCAATGGATTTAAATCTTTTTAAATATTCAAAACTCATAAAGCCCAAAATTTAATTTTCCTTAATTTAGTACTGAAACTGGAAAACTGGCAGGTTTTGTGAACAAACATGACAAATACAACATAAACATCTTCCTAAAGTAGGCATGGTCTCCAATTACAGGTCTGACATTTCAGAAATAAACAGAATTAACAGCTAAATGGCTTAGCAATGCATTATTTGTGATATGCCCAGCTGCTGTATGAAACTGAGCAACTTAAAATCCATAACGTCAAGTGCATAATGGTAATGATGGCATTTCCATGGAGCCTGATAAAAGTCTTCATTTCCAACACCTATACAACATACTTGGTATTGTTGCCATGGATATCATAGCCAGATATCTTTTTAATTTAACAAGAAATGGTTTTGGAATTGAAACCAGACTAACAGCTTTGAACCCAAAGTGGGCGTCAGACAGAGTTTTTTATTGCGAGCCTTTTCCCATGGTATATGGAACTTCCTGATAGCCAAAGTATTAGTTTTAAAACAGTTATCTTTAAGTTAGAATATTAATAATAAATGTGTTATTGTGCGTGATAATATCTTCCACTGATACTTTTGTATCTTTGACAATGCAGTCAGCTCGTTCAGGCATTCCAGCACATCTAAAGAATTTAGAATATTTTCATCACAACGGGTCACATTCTTGAACTTCTCATCCTAAATGTTATACAAGGATCTAATAGAAAAAAATATGTACAGAAAATAAAGGTGTGCTTCATGCAACTTTTTGTCACATGAAATACTAATATGTGAAAGAGAGTCTGTAAAGTGGGTCAAAATTCCATTTCTTACATGGTATGGAATTTAACCTTAATCAACACTGTTTCAACTAGTGTTGGGTATTGGTTAAAATCTCATAATTGACAATTGGTTCTTTCAAATATCGAAAATAATTGGTTAGCACCATTTATCATATTTTCCTGTTATGGATGTTAATGCACATAAAACCAACCCATCTAGTTCTTTGTTTTCGTTTGCAAATTGCACAAAATGCATTTGCAAATTTCACATCTAACTTAAAATGATGCAACTTGCCTCTTTATACAGTGACTAATATATGTTAGGAAGATAAACTTCCTGGAGTCTTTAAGATAAATTCAACTCATGACTTGGAACGAGTTCGTAGTGCTTATGAAATGTAAATTAACAACACAGACAAAAACAACCTTGTGAAATATATCAATGCAAACGAGTTTCAAAATTGTGTTTGAAATGAGAAAACATGATCACCTGCTTAGTTGTTCAGTCACTGCGATCAATCTTCGAATATTTAAATTAATCACCAATAGTTTCAACAAATGAGATATATCCGTTTCTGAGACAATCTTGAACCTGTCCGGTTACAGAACGAACATTTTTTTATTATGTAAAACCCTACTGACATACTGAGTATTTGATATACTACAATATACTACTTGTTATACTACAATATACTACTTGTATATCCATATATTGAGGGAGGTGGGGTAGCCTAATGGTTAAAGCGTTGGCTCATCACGCCGAAGACCCGGGTTCGAATCCCAACATGGGCACAATGTGTGAAGCCCATTCCTGGTGTCTGGTGTCTGGTGATGTTACTGCAATATTGCTAAAAGTGGCGTTAAACCAAACCAGTCCATATGTTGAGGATATATCCATATAACTTCAAGGCTGTCCATATTTTCTTGTGTGTTTCTAATCTTGGTGAATTTTATCTCAGAAGTGAATTGATAAATAAAATTAATCTCAGTTTCCCCACTCCTGAGAAAAACTTAGGTTGGGATGTGATAAAAAAATACTCTCCTAATATAACAAAAATACAGGTCACATTTCTCTTTCAAACTTATTTTTCAAATAAAAAAGTGACTCAGTCTACATCATAAATTTATTTAGAAATTATTACCAAGTGATCCAAATTTTAAATTTCACAAAATTCCTAAACTGGAGAAATACTGTTACATAAAATAGTTTGATATATTTTTTCATCCGCTTGCTCTCTTGCATTTTTGTTATGGGTAGCCCTAATGGTTAAAGTGTTGGCTCACACGTCACCAAGACCTCGGTTCGAATCCCCACATGGGTACAATGTGTAGCCCATTTCTAGTGTCCCCCACTGTGATGTTGCTGGAATATTGCTAAAGCGGCGTAAAACCAAACTCAGTCAGTCAGTCAGTGGTCAACTTTCAGTGACAAAGACTTGGAGGCACACAGTTCAGTCTTGCATATTTTGTTTCTTTTTTGTTTGTTTTTGCACCATGCACTCAGCAATATCCCCACTATATGGCAGCTTGGCAATAAATGAGTCTGGATCAGAGAATCCAGTGATCAACATCATGAGCATCGATTTATGCAATTGGTTTGTAAATAAGTATGTTATTGACATCATGGGCATCAGTCTACACAGTTAGCACACAATGACGTGTCAACCCAATCCAATCAGTTGCCTCTTACGACCATGGGCTGCTGAAGACCAATACTACCCCGGAGCTTCATGGTTAAGGGTGGTGGGGTAGCCTAGTGAGTAAAGATTTCGCTTGTCATGCTGACGCGAGTGAGTGTAGTTTTACGCCTCACTCAGCAATATTCCAGCTATATGGTGGTAGTCTGTAAATAATCGAGTGTGGACCAGACAATCCAGTGATCAACAGCATGAGCATCGATCTGCGCAATTGGGAACCGATGACATGTGTCAACCAAGTCAGCGAGCCTGACCACACGATCCCGTTAGTAGCCTCTTACGACAAGCATGGGTTACTGAAGATCAATATTCTAACCAGGATCTTCACGGGTATCATACTGAAGACCTGGGTTTGATTCCCACATGGGTACAATGTGTGAAGCCAATTTCTGGTGTCCCCCACCCGTTGATGATATTACTGGAACATTGTAAAAGCGGCGTAAAACCACACTCATGGTTAAGGTTGGAGATGGGAAACCATGGGTGCCAGTACACAGTCAAAGCAACAGTTATTCATGTCATCATGGTAAGATATATTTGCTTAAAACCATACTCACTCACTCACTGTTCATTATAAATGGATACCCTATTCTCTACTTATGAAAAAGAATTGACAGGAATTTAGATGGTTTAAATCATACATTTGAAATGATTTATATATAAAAATGTGTCTACAGTGGTACCAAGTTATGAAATAGCAACACTGACTTCTAAACGCATGTACAGGCTTGGCTTCCCAGTACACCTTCATTTTTCCTACCTTCCCAGTGATGCAGTTAGTCATTTTACTATCTGTTTCCAGTTTTTCTGCATACAGCAAGCAGGATTTAAGGCCAGGCAAATCCATTCTCAGGTAACCCATGTTTATTCCCACATGAGCTGATTGTGAGGATGTGACGGGATTATAGATCAGTCCAAGAACTTCCAGTTGTTACTGAAAGATTGCAGTGAGGATTTTGTGAAATATATACCGTATATCGGTTTTAACTGTATTAAACTCAAAATGACAACAGCAACTGACACATTGACAATATTGTCTGTGGAGTAGCCTAGTGGTTAGGATTGTAATTAAAAGTATTCATTGTACATACCCCCCAGATAATGGTATTTTGGCATTATTTTGAAAATTGTTTTGATTGTGACTTATAGGTCCCACACATTGTGTATGTGTTGCTAAAGCACCACAGATATCCTTTACAGTGATGTGAGTCAGGGATATCACGAAAATCATGATTTAGTTGAAATACATGTTCATGTTATGAGGCAACAGTATAAGACACAGTAGACTGAGATTGTTAGTGGTATGCCTGTTAAAGCACACACATCAACATGCCAACATTATCAGTGATTTTGAGTGAGTGAGTTTGTTTTCGCCACTTTTTACGCAATATTTCAGCAATATCTTGGCAGAGGACCACCAGAATGGACTTCACATTGTATTTCATGTGAGGAATCAACCCTCGATCTTTGGCGGACGAAAGCTAATGCTTCAACCACCAGGTTACCCTCACCTCTGCTAAGATTATTAGCCACTAGAATGTGGCAGATAAGGGCTTTGAACAACCATATTGCCACACAATGTTTGGTTGTACAAGGCAGGCCATCGTCATGAAATGCACCAACTCTAACAGTCCCAGAACCACTGGAAGGAACTTGGTTACAGGAGAGTGGAATCTTTGTGATTTTAGCATCAGCAAGGGAAGGGTAAGGTACAATAAATCAATGACCTGTCTACCTACAGAATCAATATTACAAGAGAATTGAATTCAGATTTATTTACATATAATAGGTTTCTATCAGTAAAAAGTAAACATATGTTGTTCAGAAAGCTACTGATAATCATGTAAAACCATTAATTGTCACGAAATGAATACGTTTTAATAAATAATCAGTATATTGCGACAAATGACCCCATAAAGAATAGGGCTGGGACGATACACTGTGATAACACTGTTTTGAAAAAAAAGTCGTGTACAGTTTTGTATCGATACACCAGTTGATGATACGATAGCTGTATCAAACTTAAATGTATCGTGATGTATCGGTGCATCGGTGAATCGTCCCAGCCCTAATTAAGAAGCATTCTGATTAGGGTTTATCACCTTTCATCATAAAGCATGTGCTGTTTTATCAGTGACAAACCCCTGTACAGTGCACTCTGTCTAATTCGGACCAGCTTGGGACCGACTAAAAATTTCGAATTATACAGTAGTCCGAAGTACACAGATTTTAATGAAGTTATCTCCCTTTGACAAACATATTTTAATGAAGTTATCTCCCTTTGACGAACATACGATTGTGCATGAAACACATGTTCCATGACTTATGATTCATATATTAAATCAATCACATTTCACAATGTCTGAAAACACTTATTAAATTTCAAATTATCATATATTATCAGCAGAATTAAAATTATAAACTATTTTTCGCAATGTTATTGAAAACATTGCGATTCTCGGACACCTGCTTCAGCAGCGGGTCCACAATAACATTGTCAAAGAGCAAAGTAACGATGTTTCGAGGAATTCATTAAATAAATTGAATAAACTAATGAATAAAATCAACAACAACATTCATAAAAGTTGTCAAACGCATATATGTAAATTATTTATTTCCATCTTGTAGTAAAATTCAGCAGTATCGGGTAAAAAGTCGAAGTCACCTGACAGTGACATCTCGCTCGCCGCCCAATCTTCTTTCACGCCGGGACATCTATTGATGTTTTATTATGAAAAATATATACATGAAGCATTTTGTCACAGGTCATAGCCTAGCATGATAAGTCGGAACAAGTTCCATAATGCGCTACGAAGGTAGTTAGCGATTTTACTTGATATGTTCAGCATAGCATTATTTTACCCAAAACATTTGTCTAAATCTAAAAGTTTTCGCTAATGCAGGACGCTATCCATTGTCAGAATATGATTATTATTGTCTTTAAGTCACGCGGTCTGATTTCTGTACATATCAATTTCGTGAATTGGTCTAGTGTCACAGAAACTTTGTGATTACGAAATTGATGTAACAGAAAATTCATTCATTGTCACAGGTAATTCCCAATAAAAAAATGGAGTTTACGGGGCATGATTCGTCCAATCTGGTCAATTAATTGGGTTTGGATATGTCTTTGAATGTATCTGAAACATTACTGCCATTGAGAACTGGAAGACCGACAGTCAGACCACACTGCTAGAAAAACATCACCTGTGCATTCTATATCTGCTAGTGGTGTTCCGAAGATAAAACAAATTCGACAATCACTTGAAAGAAGGATTAAAAATGATTATCGATTGTAAAAAAAATATTTTTGATAAATCGGAATTTTGTTGTTTTTGTATAACACCCTTGAATTATCTATACTTACCATTTAATTTGATAAATATTCACGAACAAACATGCCCTCAACAGCGTAAAGCTATGCACATTGTAAAATTTTAACCACATTTATTGTTTAATTACAATTCCAGTGTCTTACTTGTATGTGTGCATTTCATTGCATGACAGTATTAGTTATAAAAAAAATAATATTTAGAAAAATCCTGGGGAAAAAACCTTAAAATTGGTGATTACATTAAAAATGTATATATTTCAATTATAGTCAATAATCGTTCACAACATGTCCTCCGATAATCGATAGTGGATTTGGTTTCCGATTCCCAACACTAATATCTGCACAATTGGATGCTCACAGTGACGTCATCAGCATCAACAGCGTTTGGTCACTGCATCAGTAGGAAAACAGTGATGAGACAACTGCATGCTGTTAGCCATTTTGGGGCATGTTGCGAACCCATTAACATCTGATGAATAGTCTCCATTGGACAGGTATTCATTTGGGTATGATATCTCTTTTGTGTTCACAATCAAAACATTTTCAAAAACATTATTTCTGCATTTTTTTCTCCCCAAGTAACAGATGGGTACTTTCTTTTGATTGTCAGTATAGTTGACACTGCGATGAGAGAAATCTGATTTGGAAATTTACATAGTCAAACGGGACACGTCATCTTATCCCAATTGCGTAAATCGATGCTCATGCTGTTGATCACTGGATTGTCTGGTCCAGGCTCAGTTATTTACAGACTGCCGCCACTAGCTGGAATATTGATAGTGTGGCATAAAACTAAACTCACTCACTCACTCAACTTGTGGAGACCCCGGGAGAAAGGCAAGTCATCCAGATTTTGAGACAACCTACAATTGAGCTTTTAAAATCAATACATCATTCCATAACAGATATAATCACATGTAATCTTGGTCATCACTGGTTCCATTCCATGTTTCTCATCAATATCCATATTAACCATTAATAAAATGATGCTTTGTTTAATTTTGTGTTTAACTATTTACTTATCCATTTGTAACATTCAGTTCTGGTTTTGAACGACTGTCGACACTGTTATCAGTCATTGATTGAATAACAGATTAAGTAACAGCCGTTATCTGTTGTACTCACTTCTACAATTACAGCTGTCAACTGTCTAATGAGAAAACTTTGGTAAGTTACTGTCAATGTTATACAGCAATCAGCAATCAGTGATGTAAGGTGTGGTTGTTATTAAGAGGGAGGTGGTGTAGCCTGGTGGTTAAAGTGTTTGCTTGTCACACCAAACGTCCGGGTTTAATTCCTGCTGTGGTATTGCTGGAATATTGCTAAAGAGGTGTAAAACCTGACCCACTGAATCACAGTTAAGTACACTTGAGTGGACTTTGGTATATTGTTAGAAACAATCCTACATTTGATGTAATGGCAGTGACTTCAGTGAGGTTTGTCACATGTGTTAAGTGAGTTGAAAGTTTGGGAGAGTGTTGAATCATCTGGGGAACTGTAAGCATAGTTTGTATACTGACAATTCCCATATGGGTTTGGAACAAACGGGACCTGGACACATCCAGTTTGTGAAATCTGAGTATGAATGAGCATAAATATAGCAGAATTGCAGACAACCAGAAATTTGACCCATGAAAGTTTCATCTGGTTTGTCTGACATTTAACAATTGATCGGATATGCCACTACCAAATGAGATAGTTTTGAATATCGCCAATTCATAGATTTAAGATATGGCTAACAAAACTCTTTTCTATAATGAAACACTTCTAATCGAGTTTATATAAAATTGATGGAGACTCCATACTTCAAGTTGACTGAAACTATACTGTTTGCATGGTTCAGCTGGTTCAAGATACCGTATTTCTTCTAATAGATGCTTCATTATAAGCAGTAAGTTATTGGTGTAACCGGACAAAATCCCCCCCAAATATGCATCGTAGGACAAAATCCCCACGGACAAAATCCCCAAATATGCATCAGAGGGACAAAATCCCCACGGACAAAATCCCCCCAAATATGCATCGTGGGACAAAATCCCTTACGGACAAAAATCCCCCCAAATATGCATCAGAGGGACAAAAAAACAAAACCCCCCCACCCCAAGGAAAAACAATCAAGAGTTTAAGATATCCATGTAATTATTTGTCAATATTTCAACAAGGTCTAAGAGCACATAGCACATATTTTGAGCACATTCACATCATTCATTGCACATTTATTTTTATTTGACATATTTATATGAGCATATATTTATTCATACATTATGTGACATTTATTCATTTGTCATTTATGCTATTTGATCATAGCTAAAACAATCTTCTCCAACTCTTCTGCAATTGTTAATGAAGCTGTTCTATCAAAACATGATAACAAGGATTAAAGGATAGAGTTAATAAAACCAATCAGTCCCTGTTCAGCCAATTAACATCAAAAGGGATTAATTGTTGTTCAAAGATCAGGAGAATCAAGCTAAAGATGTGTAGGGGATTTAGTCCATTTTGCCAGTTCTATGCCAGTTTACATAGCTAAAACAATCTTCTCCAACTCTTCTGCAATTGTTAATGAAGCTGTTCTATCAAAACATGATAACAAGGATTAAAGAACCTTTAATCTAAAGCTAAAGATGAGTAGGGGGGATTTTGTCCGTTTTAATGTTAAGGATGGGGATTATGTCCGGGATTATTATGATTTTTGGGGGAAAATTTGTTTGTTGGGGAGGGGGAGGGGAGGAAAGAAATATTTGTCCACGGGATTTTGTCCTGGATTCGATATATCTTTAACATTAGGCCAGAATGTTTTAAAAAACTTGTGTTATGATTCACCAACTCCAAAAACTGAAATGTGAAAAAAGAAATAAAATTAAAACAAGAAGACAAAGTCATCAATATCCCCCCGATGGCAAAATACTCTTCATGATTATGTCTACGAGTTATGATTATGTCAAATATTTAGGTGTGTATATAGAAAAGTGGAAGGAGAGTATTGAAAGGTTTTTAAAGTTCTGCTCCAGAAAGGAGCACTATCACCAATTTCAGTCTATGTCAAACTTGTTGCCATGGAAATGCCAAAAATATTTTATTCAGAATTCCAAAACTACCAAAAGGCACCAGTACACCACCAGATCTATCTATGTGCCAAGTTTGGTGAAGAAATAGTGAACGGTTTTAGAGTTCAGCTCCAGAAAAGTGTACTACCACCAATTTCAGGCTAAGTCAAAACTTGTTGCCATGGAAACGCCAAAAATATTTTATTCAGAATTCCAAAACTACCAAAAGGCACCAGTATACCACCAGATCTATCTATGTGCCAAGTTTGGTGAAGAAATATTGAACGGTTTTAGAGTTCTGCTCCGGAAAAGACAAATGTGCACGGACAGAGCCCATTTTAATACCCCCCGAAAAACGTGTTGCGGGGGATAAAAAGTAAAATATTTAAAAAAACCACACCTATTAACTGTCACTACCAATATGAATAAATGATTTGATGTACCAGAATAATTTACCTTGAGAATATATGACAAACCGCCACAGGTACATTTCTATCGGTATATTTCAATTATTATTCATTATTTCTGTTGAGTTAACTCTAAACTTGTTTCTTTCCTATTCCTCCTTCCACTCTTTTCATTTCCTTCTTCTCCACCTACTTAAAGGTCACATGCAACGTAAAGCACAACTTTTCAGATTCTGATTCCTTTCGGTATGGACTTACAGTAACAAGTGATTAAAAATGCAAATTCAACTTATAAAGTTGAAAATAAAGCGATGAAAAAAACCCGCGAAACTGGAGTTCAAACAA